AAATATGTTGCGCTGAGCATACGCATGCCAGTGCTGGCGTGATCATGCAATAACAGGCGGGCTTCGGTGGGATCAATCTGGGCCCCAAGGAACGCAGACTGCAAAGAGTGCGATGACCATTTTTCATTTGCCATAGTCACACCCTGACTTACAGTGGGTCGTTGCATGTGAAGGAGAATGACAGCCCCACATTATTCAGCGTCTGTCAACGTCCACTCCTCCTATTACCTCTGTGCACGTCCTCATGCCTAGTCAATGACTATTTCTGATTTAACTATTTACTGCACACACTTCCCATTTGATGCTCTATTCAAACGTTCCACAAGAGCTGCCTACTACCTCATTCATCAGTCTCAACAGGCTTGGATAAAGTCTTTGTGAGGATGGTTGGCTCTGCTAACTATGGGGACGTTTAAACCATAATTTTTTGGTTCCCGGTATGGGAATAAGGCAGAATTTTCGCCGGGCATTGGGCCTTCTATTAGCAGGGATTGAAACCGGGGTCAACTGCACATCACGGCTTAACAAACGCTTCAAAATAAGTCCAACAATGGACGCAAAATGTGTAAAGCGAGACCTTGGAGGAAGGGATGTCTTAAGGAGTGAACAGGTCAAAATTCTGTAATGGGTCTCGACACTAATTTGCATTTGCCGAAGACCTCCTGATGCTTTAACATATGTTCCTGTAGAATGGTGATGAAGAAACCGGCCCTGACAGTGAACGTTCAGCGAAACTATTCCTTTCCGCATAAATTCCCTTATTAATGCAATTTCTATTACTATTTTGCAAAAAAGAGCTCTACAAATTTCAGACTTCTTTCCTGCACCGTAATACCCAAGGAGCAGACAAAGTTGGACTAGACCTGACGTTGGTTAGTTTTTTGTAAGCCAAACCGAACAGACATTGTCAGAGAGTATTCACAACGTGAACGTGAAGGGGACACATTAAGGGTCGAATAGAAAATACCTTCTAGATAAAGGCGGTGACTTTCGACGAGTCATCGAGATAGACAAGATTTCGATCAGGTCTTGCAGGAAGCCTTAGCAGCGCAACTGATAAAGGTGTCAAGGCCACATATTGGATGTCTTTTGTAATAAATCGTCGATAATGGTTCAAAAGCTATTACAGTAGAAAGTTATGTGGGCACTTTACTGAATGCGCTTAACTAAAAGAAGCTAGTAAACAGATTATAAGGGCCCATATAACCGAAATAAGAAGAGATCGCTGGCCAAGTTCAATCTCCTGAAAAGAAAGTAATGCAATCATATTGTTTCGATCTGATTGCTTATCCATAAGATGGCAATGAAATACTTTGGTACAACCAACATACATGAATCTCCTCAAACGACCAGCATTTTCCTTCGACGAAGGTCACGTCAGACGGTGTTTTGGACGAAGCCTTTGCAAATTATTTCTCGTACGTGTGACTTCCCTAGACAGTTTTGGAATAACTACGTGGACAAGGGGTTAATACAGTCTAAGGTGCTTTAACTAGAGTGGGCATACTTATTCGACAGGTGCCTGAGTTCGATCTCAGAACTAGATATTTAAGGCGTGTATCTTCGTTAAACTGTACTCTTGGGAAGGCAAAACATGAATGGTGGTGGTGGCGTTGTCCTCGACGAACTATTCATTGGAGGAGAGCAATGTGGACCTGCAACTCGACTCATCTTTGGACTGCAGGGCAGTCGACTCAGAGTTTGGGATGCGAGTGAAAGGCGCTTCATGAAATCTATTGATCTCATTGCCCAAGCCGATGAAAAGTCGTGACAATCCGCACCCGTGATCGCTGGCGCTACAGCTTACTCGTGTCGCTTTTCTGTCCGCTTCACGCTCCTTGTCGATTCGCCACTGGAACAACGCCATACTTAACACTAGTGGCGAAAACTCGAGACCACTGAACAGTACGTTCTTCGATGATTGGCTGTAGGCGGATAAAGCCAGGCGCACGCGCCGGGATTCGACAATCTCAACAGCTCTGCTCTAACGTGTGATTTGGCGGCCCACGAGTTTGCCGACACGTCACCCTTCGACAGGGTCACTAAAAGTGTAGAGAGGAAATGGCAAGCACGAGCTCTGATTAGGCATCGAAGTGCTGATGAGGGAGAGTGCCTCCAAATGCTGGGGGAACAGTTATCATCAACCTCAAATGGTCCAAAACTGTGAGTGTTGCATGATAGTGATGCGGCTGCCTATCGAGGGAGAATGATCTAAACCTCCAAAAGATCAACGGAATGAGAAGTTTTTTGTTGCTGGCACGATCACCAGACCCGAATCCATTTAGGCACATGTGGGAATATGAAGAGAAAAAAGCAAACCATACGGTATCTCCACCTGATCAAATATTTAGAAGTTGTTTCGACTTAAACCAGGGACGAAATATTAATTCTGCTTGCCACTCAGTTAGTTGAACTGTTATGTACAATTCGCTAAGTTATAGCACCAATGGGTTGAAATACGAGTTACGGAGAACAGTGTACTGAGCTCCCCACTCACGCTCTACGTCAGCACCTTCAACGGACCTCCCCCCAGTTGCCCCCAGCGCTGAATTCCTTACTGGTCGTTCAGCAGGCACGTTGGCGTTACCTCTCTATCCAGACGGATCGTTCCTCCTACTGTAACTTTTATCCATATTTGTATTATTTATCACTGCTCGACGCACCAAACTCCCTGTTTCTAGCATATATACTACGTACTTTTTAACCTTTCCTCCTCCTTGCTTGGATCAAAGTAATGACGTGTCAAACAACCTTGTTCGTCCGCGCTAAATCAGGACTTGTCGCCGGTGCATCACGTTACCTTGTGCGTGCTACTCTCGTTGTTTTCTGTCATTGATACTCACACCACCCTGGCGGACAGACGTGCGCGCAAGACCAAAGCTGGCCGCGCGTCGGGGGCTCTGACCACCCGAGTTTCTGTACCAAATATACGCCGTCTACTGGTGTCTTGGTCTTCATCCCCTAAAATGGGACTGGTCTATGGTTATTGCGGTTCTCTGAGTATATGCGCTGCTTGGATACCGCAAACGTACCCTAAGCACCGAAATCACTCTGCCGGATCCCAGTTGACATGAGAATATGAGAGACATTCGAATGGAAGATTATTTTCTGTACGAAATTGAAAGTTGCGCTCTCCGACATCAGTGGTCGCTGGCAAGGTCATAGCGTGCGCTGACAGTGTTTAGTGGTGGTTATGAGCTCGAACGCTGTTTGTGGGGAGCGAAGTAAAGGGTTTTCTGGGTTACCACTTTCGGGGTATCGGCGGTTGTGACTCCCTCGGCATGTGCACGTCTGTGTTAAATTCAGTCAGGGCAACCCTCCGGCTTGACGTTCAGCGCGTCTCAGAGGTTTCGCTGGGAGGGAAGATGGCAAAGAAGCAATAAAACATTCGACGAAAGTGCGATGAGTCTTTTTTGCTGTTGCCTTCAAGGGCATCGCAAATACTAAAGAAATCGACTGTGGGACTGAAAACTGAACAGCTTTTTTGCATCCGGTTTCACGGACGAAACAAACCTTAGCAAGTCTGTTTTTCTAACTTTAAGTAATGGCTCAGGAAATGCCATGCAGTAGGGAGTTCTTATGTTTAGTATAGCAAAGTCTTTAGTTGTAACTTTTTACTTTTCCAGAAACCGATAGCTAAGTCCGAATAGATTGGTCTGAATTTAATTTGCCCGACTCAGACCGAAGGTTGGTGTGAATATTTTGGCCAAAATGCACCAGTGCTCTCAAGCCGGGTAAATGTGGTGTTCCATCATGGTTGTTGTTCCTCCTTATCTACAACAGTGATCTGACGTGTTTACTTTTGAACAGCCCTTGACAGTTCGACCATCGATTTCGATGATGTCCACCGTGTGCCCCACAGCTGCAGCAGCGGTGGGAGCAGGGACGGTGACTTGCGCAGGAGTTTATAGTGCCGGTAGACTTGCGCTGCATCTACCTACACTCTCTCCTCTTCCCTCGCCCGAACCCGGTGTCAAGACAGAGTCAAGAAGACCGGAGACGAGGGAGGCCGTAGGTGGATGGCTCGGACGGATCCTCACCTTGACGTTCCACCAAACTCCCTGGTCCACACAACAAATAACCAGGATTTCAACCAACACAACTGAGACTGGAGGCTGGCACGGCCGAAACCGCACCTAGGCGTGCAGCCGACGCCTGGCTCTGATCCCACACTGTGGTGGGAGTGCCATAAAGGCCACATTAAGAAGGAGCCATTGCAGCCTGACTCTCAGACCCCCACCAGTCGAGGAGGAGGTCCAAGTTATCCCGTCAGTTGGCAACCTTCCAAGCCACGGCTTTTAGCGCACCGTGATATCTTCAAGCGCGTCAGATTGCTTATAGTGAGGAGAAAGTGCACTGAGTCGTCGGCCTCACTCCCCCTTCCCACTCCCACACCCCAGCCGCTGTCCGAGCCGGTCAGCAGACTGGAGTGGGAAATGGGCGCGGTGGCTGGCATGATCGACTGACCATGACTGCGCGCACCACGGCACGACCTGGCCCCCCATACACACAACACCAGGATTTCACACAACGGGGGTTGAACGGCGGGTCTCTCACTTGCGTGAGAGTGCCGTGGAAGGTGCTGTTTCAGCCCGTCGCCCGGCCCGCCAGTCCGTCACTCCACACAACACACACACACAACGGGACGAACTGTGTGGACCGAGTGGGGACGTCAATCAGCAACCTTCCTATCCACGACGCTTGACGTGTCGGGATAGTCTCAGACTCAAGTCACCCGTGCAGCCGAAGCCGCATGGGGACCGAGTCGAGATGCACACTTCCCACTTGCGTGGGAGATGGCAGTTGGGTGCTTGCGGTGTGTGAGTGCTGATGTGTGGTGGTGGTGGTGGTGGTGGTGGTGGCGGTGGTGGTGGTGGTGGTGGTGGTGGCGGCAGGAAGGGAGGGTGTTGTGGTGTGGTGTAGCCGGCGGTTGTCTACCGCAGGTCGTCGTGGATGCGCATGTGGCCGAGTAGGCCCATGCGGTGCGTGAAAGTGCGAGGTCAGTGTGGGCAGTGGAGGTGAGCTTGGTGGATATAGGTTGGTGCTCCAGGCACTGGTTCGCCAGTCTCCGTGCTATGAATTCGCAAGTGACCGACTAGGCCGAGGCGAGAGATGAGTGCGCATGGACGGTGTGGGCAGGCGAAGTCGGTGGTGTCGGTGTCAGTTGCGATGAGGGTGATGGGTGATGAAGTGATGATGGGTAATGAAGTGGGGATGGGGTTTGGCGTGGTGGGTGAGTCGGGAGGGCGGTCAATTCCGCTCTTGTGGATGCCCATGTAGCCGAGTAGGCCCATGCGATGCGTGAAGGTGCGAGGGCAGTGTGGGCAGTGGAGGCGAGTGCGGTGGGTGTAGGTTGGTGCTCCTGGCACTGGTTCGCCAGTCACTGTGCGATGGATTCGCAAGTGACTGACCAGGCCGATTTGTGAGGTGAAGGTGCGGTCGCAGTGAGGGCAGGTGTAGTCCTGGTCCAGAAACACATATCGAATCCACTCAGTAAAGACTACTAAAGGCATCGAAATTACTGAAAACATAGATAAGATTGAGTGTTTTTCAGTCTTTCCAATGTATATACATACTCGAAGAACCAAAGGTCCTTCAAAATAATCTGCACCGACTGTAAACGTGGTCCGAGAAGTGGCTTTCGGTTTTCAGTGTGCAGACGTGTTCCGTCCTTCATCTGCGTCAAACCAGCTGTCACTTAAATGACAGCACGAGGGTATATCACCTGAAAGACATTCCTCTTCCCACAGACTCTTCACAGAAGGATCCCGGTCTTTGGATACAGAGCAGCCTGAAACCAGTACTGTAATGCACCAAGGCTGCAAAAAACGTTATGGAGGTACTCAATACAATCAGAAGGGCGTTTGTAACTTTTGACAAAGATATTTTTGGGAGAGTTTACAGCACCTTTGTTCGACCTTATCTAAAATAGGATATACAAACGTTGCGGTCATGCAGGTACGTAGTCCCTATGGTTTTTGTCTGCTTTCAGGAGGCTTTCAATACAGAGATATTTTTAAGCAAACCTGCAATAGTAGGGATAAGGAGTCACTTCCTTAAATGAATTGAAGATTTAATTGTGGATCGCCGTCAAGTTGCGTTCATGGGTGGGGTTTCTCCAGGACTGCGTACTGGGACCCCTTTTGCTCTTGATGTGCGTGTACGAGTGCACAAGGAAGTTGGACTGTTAAACATTATTGTTTGCTGACTGTATGAAAATTGGATATGTGATCCCGAAAGTTGCCGACGATAATTGACTACATATTAATTTGAATCTACGGAAGGAGTGTTCAAATTATTCCCTTTTGCGGTAAACGAAAGATATCAAAAAATCAGAAGAAGTTATTTGCATATGTGAATAGGACAAAATGAAATCGGGACCCTATGCCCTGTCTAAATATTCATCAGAGAAATGAATTAACTGATATCTCCGATAATACGGATCTCTTATCCGACTTCTTCATGTCCGTTTATACTGAGGAGCCACCTCCTGATGAGAAAGTACGCCGGAAAATCACCTCACTTAGAGATACAATTAACGCGTTGACGTTCACAACGGACGCAGTAAGGAGAAGTCTGTGACTGCTATAGTTCACTAAATCGCCTCGGTCGGATGGCTTATCCTCAAAGGTTCTGAAGGAATTCGCAGACCACCTAGCCCCCCGCTCTCCAAGATCTTCCAAAGTTCAGTGGAGGAGGGGACTCTGCCTACTGACTGGAAGCTTGAAAACATAAGCCCCATATATAAAGAGGGAGAGAGAACCTTTCCAAATGGCTTCGAAGCAGTGAATCTCCCAAGCATTTCTTGCAAGTTAGTGGATAAAATAATAAAAAGGAACTGATGAGACATACTCAATAAAACGACTTGGTTAATGAGGATTAACATGGATTTAATGGTCCATCCTGTCTCAATAACCTGCTCACGTCAATGGAAAGATGGACGAAACCTTTAGAGATGGGCTTGTTAGCGTTTATTTATGCATGTAGGGGTGTGAGGTGTATGGATGTCCAGTGGAGGGTTCACGTGACGGTTTAGTAGGTCGCTCACATGCTTTCAGGTGTAGACTACGCCTAGCGTCCATTTGCTGACATCAAACTCCCACATGTGGCTCACCAAAGCTAGCCTCTGCCTAGCGGCCACACCCCGGTAACCGCCTCGACCGGCGGGCTAAACCAGGTGAGTGTATCCGTGTGTGCGTCCGTGCACACGATAATGTGGACTCCGCTGATCGGGTGGATCACCACATCGACGTCGCCGAGACGAGATCCCGCCGGCCACACGAGGGGAGGCCACAAGGTACGTGAGCCTCCAGGTAGGCGAACGCTGCTCTGCTGCCTTTGCCCGCTTGTCCATGTTTGCCTGCTTTCTGTCTGCTTTCGTGTCTGTCCTTGTTAAAAACTAACTGTCGGTCTGCTGAATTTCCCTTGTTACCTTTGCTTTTTGCTGTTCTACCTGCTTGCTTTTGTCTGCCTCATAGACGTTTTGGCAGATTTTGAATAATTCATATTGACCTAAATGTGAAAAACTCGGCGCCTCGGTGGACTCGAACCAACGAAGTACGGGGAAGACTTTAGTCCTCTGGTGGATTCTAGGTGAATTACTTAGATAATCCCAGTTGGGCAGTCAACTTACTGTATCAGATTTGGCGGATTCCAGACGTTGCAGTAGGTTGGTCGGGTAACTTGACCCAAATGTGATTAAACTCGCGTCATCCGGCGAGGCCTCGTAGCTCAAGTGGTTAGAGCGTTGGCTGTACTAAAGCCTCCCCTTACTGCGTGGCTTCAAATTTCACCGAAGCGCCGAGTTTTTCACAGTTGGGTCAATATGAATTTGGTCTGCTTGTTTGTGCCTATGTTTACTGCAAGCTAAATGCCGTTTTGTTGATTGTAGCTGCTCACCGCTCATATTTCAGTAACCAATCAACCTTGAGAATGAGGTGAAAGCTCTGCATCCCGTCTCTCTACCCTTCCCTACCCTCCCCCCGTCAGCTTACGTCGATGTCATAGGCTGTCCCAGACTATCTCGGATCGTCCTTCCGCTACACAAAAGTCGTAACCCATATTGGAGTTTGGCAACCGTCTGGGACAACTGAGCAGGCCTATTTAGGGATAGCACTTCTTGCCCCCGCGAGGGGGAAAGGGCTAGAGAAAGTGCCCTAAAAGTGCTGGGGACCCACACCGTCTGTAGGCTGACCATAGTCGCAGACGTAAATCACCCGGTAGAAACACTCAAAATTGAAACAACACATTCTTCTCCCTCCCTTCCCCCGCCGCCCACTTGTAAGACTGGTAGGGTGAGTCCGCTCACACTAGCAGCCTGGAATGTTCGTTCCCCTTTAGATACTCCAAGGAGCACCCGACCGGAACAGAGAACGGCGCTATTGGCTCGGGAACCAGCGCGCTACATGATGGCCATTGTTGACCCGGTTCACCGAACAACGCCAACTGGAGTAGGTGTGTGTCGGCTTCACCTTCTGCTGGAGCGGTCGCCCCAAGGCAGAGAGTCGGGACACGGGTGTTGCCTTTGCCATCCGGAGCCGCATCATAGGACGACTGTCCTGTCTGCCGTAGACCATCAACGATCGCCTGATGAGCTTCCGTCTGCCTCTTTGGGGAAACAAATTCGCCATCATCATCAGCGTATACGCTCCACCGATGACCATTCCTGATATTATAAGAGACAAATTCTACGGGAACCTGCATGCCTTCTTGTCGAGTGTGTCGTAGACGGATAAGATGATTGTCCTGGGTGACTTCGACACCCGCATCGGCGCAGACCATGCTGCCTGGAGAGGAACGCCCGCTCCCCATGGTCTCCGTGGCTACAATGTCAATGGCCTGCTCCTTCTCCGCACCTGCACAGAACGCCGATTCGTCCTGACGAACACGTTCTTCTGCCTGCCAACGCGAAAAAGGCCACCTGGATGCATCCTCGATTGAGTCAGTGGCACCTGATGGACTGTGTCCTCATCTGGAGGCGAGACCAGCGGGACCTGCTGGTGATGAAGGCGAGTCCGGGTGCTGACGGATGGACCGACCATCGCCTAGTCATCCCCATTCCATCACATTATCCCTCACCAGTATCTCACCGCACATCAAAATCATCCACCGCAAGCGCCCAAATGCCACCTCCCACGCAAGTGGAAAATGTGCGTCTCGGCCCCTCCACTATGCGACTCCCTTGCTGCATGTGTGATCGGCATCTGAGACGAAGACGGTGGGTCGAGCGCCGTGGCTCCGAAGTCAACCGACTGACGTCCCAACACAGTCCACGCAGTCTGCCCATTTTGCGTGTTTTTGTAGGGTGACGGACTGCAGAACTGGTGGCCAGGCTTTCACGGCCCCTTCTCAAGCAATTTGCGATACTCCTATGTGGGCGAGGAGAGTGTGTGTACTCTATGGTTAGTGCCTCTCAGCCGAAGACTCAGTCGAATACTGTTTGGTTATCCAACCTTGAACGGTGGTGGTCTAGGCTTAATTCAGGGCAAAGTTTCGCCCTTCTAGGTTAAAAGTCCTGAATGCTGGTGCTATGCCCGTATCAGCAAACCATGACCCTTGCAGCCTGGTAGCTCTGGCAGTTTCCTGACACCTGGTTCCCTGCCGGTAGACGCGCTTGCGCTCCCGCTGTGTATACAGGTGGTGCGCTTGGCTGCCCAGTCATCTTCATTCTTGTGACCGCTGTTGGGGCGTTGTTGTTGGTTAAAAATCTGATCATTTGCTGTATGGACCAGGGGGTTTGGAGTGGAATGCCAAGGTGCGAACTCGACCGTGCCATTTACCTTGTCCTCCGCCTCGGCTGATGACCAACTCCCTAAAGCCGTCCGCTCATTGTTTCAGCGTACTAAAATGAACAATATCCGCGTTGCATGTCAAAAGATGGTCTTTGCGGATTTTAATAAAGACCTACTCCCGAAGATTTTTGGAGCATTTTTCAGTCCGCATTTTAAAAGACGCCACACAGGTCTGGTTGTCATGTTCAGTTCAGGATAAACATAATATGCAATGGACCACCAAGATTCTTAAGCATCTAAGGTCCTTGCCTCATGTCACCTCTCTAACAAACCAAAATATCTTTCTCCTGATTTATAGGCAAATGCACGGGACCTCTTACAGGCATTCCGCGGGTACCGGGCTTCGGCCTGTCTTTCGGCGAAGTTTTGGAATTTTCCACGACGACTAACACCTGAAGTCACCAATTAAGACTGCGCTCTCAGCCGATAACAGTAGAGTGTTAGAAATTCTCGTTCTCTCTCAAAGTAATCATGTCATGATATGTCCTCCATGCAGGTGTTTCGATGTCACCATCGACGTAAAGCTTTAAAAGGAAATTTGACTGATTGATGTTTGGAAATGCGTCGGCGCGGGTGAAATCCGATCCATGTTTTGAGACTCATGCTCTCATTTTCACATTTTTATGAACCCAGCCCACATGGTTTCTCTGTGCGCTAAACCCAATTTTACGTCGCAAATACGGTGTTAAAAGGTCCATGTCTATTGCCCCTTGTAAAATGAGATGAATATGATGTTTGCATGTGACACTAAGACCATAGACGAGGCACACATGGATACTTCTATTCTGGAAAACCTTGTACGATGTTCTGGATAAACTGACGAATGTAATTTCTCAGTGACCACAAGGGAGCCCCAATTTTTGTGTGTAACCTACCATTGCGTATTGAGATGCCTCTATGCAAAATGTCCTGTGGCAAATAAAGCCCGTGAAACAGATCATCCGACTGCGTTGTAATTCTCGCTTCAGCCTCTAGAGCGCTGCCAGAACACTGCCTGAAGATCGCGATTAAGGTTAAAAGCGATGTTTACTTTAGTTTTTTGGTTCCACTACCTCACGAACGAAGGGCATCGGATGTTAATTGCTAAATTTATCGAGCGAACCTTGAATGTTGTATGGTTCTCATACATTCATCGGGACGGAGAGGTTAACAACTAGGTTCTTAAATGGGCAACTGGGTCTCTTAATTATACACCCGATCCAAATTCGGTAAAAGGGTTGAAAAGTATTCAAAAATCACTGGTGCGGCAGATGTTGAGTTTTACAAACATTCGGCAACCGTTCGAGTCAACAAACGGGATAAAAACATTAGTTGCGGATTGTTTCGACATAAAAAGCTGCCAAACCCCTGTGAACGCACGAGAGTTTGTTGGAGGAATTATCTTTAACCTCTACGAACAAATTATTTAAGACATCTTGCACCTTCACGCTGAAATGAGGATTGCCCCGCAGCGTACCATCTGGGGTATATTGGGAATCACTGCCGTGACGGCCTCGCGCGCAACCTTCTGCGTTACAAACATTCGTGTTTTCGATGTCGCTTTAATAAAAGCGTAATCTGCAAGAGGCTTGTCGTTATTTCGGCCATTCGGTAGTAGAAGTCCATTTTCGCCGTCACTATACTCCGCCCTTCTGTTTGCAACTGTTTCCTGTGGGGTACACGTTAGCACTCTTTTCGCACCGCTTGTTGCCACTGCGAGTTTTCTCCTACTGGCTATCTAGACACAACCCCCTTCGTCCTTATTCATGCCACACTTTCTAAAATTTGGCTTTAGTTGCTTAAGAGCACAAGTCCTGAGAGAAGACGAATGCAATACACAGGAGCCCAGTATTATGCATTGACTTCTGCTATTGCAATAGTCCCATTTTTTCGAACATTATTTAGTTGCGGATTTTTAAAATGAGCGAGATCAAGGTCGCGCCCAGGTCGCATTGCAAAGAATATGTTCTCGAAAAATATCAAATGCTTCGTTTCGAAGCCAGTTGTCCCGTTAGCATAGTTTTACTGTCCGGAATGGCAGAAATATTTGGAACTGAAATCGTTTGTGGAACGGACATTTTTTTGGAAACAGGTCAACGTGGAACCATCGTAACCTTTCACGGTTGCAAAATTGCAGTCAAGGATCAGGGGTTAGCGGCGTACATCATGACAGCTGCAGAAGACCAAGAGATCCCACATGTTTGTATCAATATTCATGCGAATTTGGAGGCAGCAAGAAAGAAGGCCGTGGAAACCCAGTCAAGAGGACCCCGCGTTCTTATATGCGGACAAGAAAGCGTAGGGAAGTCTACCCTCTGTCGTACCTTAGTAAATTATGCAACTCGAAAGAACGCAAAGCCCATCCTAGTCGATGTCAATGTTGGTTTAAATCAAGTACGTTTGCAAGATGGGACTCTACCCGATTCAGATTTGTATACCTACAACGATGGCTGCCATGGCTGTTACCAAGCCGTATGACCTGTACGAAGGCTGGGGTCTGGAAGAAGATCCACTCGTTTTCTGTTTCGGACACTTGGACCCAGCTGCAAACCTAAATTTGTTTCGAGAACAGGTAAAACGTTCAGCGATACGAGTATTTAACATTGTAATAATATTCCGGGAAAGTCGTAGATAGTTTTCAGGAAGCCGAAAAGGCCCTTGTATGGAAGATTCTGGCGCGCAAAGCTGTTGACCCGTCTTATGTCCAGTGTGCTTTACACACTTTCTTGCAAGCAGGATTCGTTAAAGTCAGGATATCATCTTCATAGTGAATTAGCACAAAGCGGCTCTATACGTAATGTGGAATCAGGTTTATATTCTCACTCCTGAATTGCTTTCTCATGCACATTGTCGTGCGGTGTCGATAGATAGACATTACTCTTCCTTTGATGAGTGCACGCTAAAGTCGCCCCATATTGTGGAACCAGGTAGAGCGCTTTACACGAACTGCTGAGGTCGGAGGCTTATCTGGTATTTCCTTTCAACAATCTTAACAAGGCTAAATCTTTTATCTCTATTTCTGCCGGATTTCTGGTTGCTTTGCGACTTTTTCATATCGGTTTGCAATTCTATTATCATATCTCGGCTGAATCCAGGCAAATTAAACCCAAGGAATCGGTCTCAGCCGTTCTTTGAATTACACTTCTGTAACTCACCCTATTTACGCTCTGGCCTTATCTATTCTCCATTGTCCTCATAAATCAGAACGTAAGTCGAATCTGCTCTGTCCATAGGTGCAGACAAGACTTGTACAGCGGTCATCCTCTCACCTCTTCTTCTTCATGAGGGATGATCTCATCTCCCTACACTTTTCAATCGCATATTAAAAGCACAGAGCCAGTATCGACTGAAAACTTATAGTCCCCATGTTTCTCTCCTATCGGATTCCACTGACAAGACTAAACCAATAGTACCTCTTAATTTACAAGGTTTCGGAGTCTGGTGCGCACGAGACCTCATGATAACCGGAATATCACGACAGACCCTTAAGCGCTTTCGTAAGCTGATAGCTGCAAGTAATTTAATGAAACAGCGGCCGTCGGTTGGTGGTAGCCATGGCGGAGTTCAGTCGCCCACCATCGCAGGTATTTGATCAGTAAGTTGACCACAAATTCGGAATTGGATTTGATTTGGCGTCGTCCGTCTAAAGTCAGCTGGCAATGACGATATCAACAGCCTTTGTCACAAGGATAGTCAGGCCTCAGTTATCAGGAGTAACTT